TGAGACAAACTAGGACATGTTGACTTTGACAACTCCTTAGACCTTCCTAATGATTATGACTATTTTATTGTTCAAAAAATCACTGTCAATGTTCCTTCGAAGACTGCTGTACGAATTGATCTACCATTCAAGTTTGCGAAACCAGTTCAGCTTTATGTAAGATGTACTGCTCCGCAACCTGAGGCATCGTCCAAATCCACCCAAGAATCTAATATATTAGCAAGGCAAAATGTGACCATATAGCCAAATGCTTAGCCTACTAATGATCTTACCATTGCCCTCCGAAAGGGTAAAAGATCTTATTCTCGGTATCTTCTTAGACAATATGTCTCTTACTTTTTGTTATCTTTATCATATTATTATTTTATATCCAGTTGAAGATGCTTTTCATATACCTCCTAAGATCTTTGGGTCCTTATGCTTTATTCACAATCATAGTCAACGGACGAAATTAGATTCAAAATCTCTTAGGGGGTACTTTTTATATATTTTAGGACTCAAAAGGGGTATAGATTTTATTGCCCCTCCTTAAATCGGTATATTATTTCAGCCAATGTTACTTTCTTTGAGAAAAAACCCGGACATGTTGGCTTTAATAACTCCTTAGACCCTCCTGATGATTATGACTACCTTATTGTTCAAGAAAGCGCTGTCAATATTTCTTCGAAGACTGCTGTACAAATTGATCTACCATCCAAGTTTATGGAATCAGTTCAGATTTATGCAGTACATATTGTTCAGCAACCTGAGCTATCATCTAAATCCACTCAAGAGCCAAATATACTAGCAAGGCAAAATGTGACTATAAAGCCACATGCTTAGCTTACTGATGATCTTCCCATTGCCCTCTGAAAGGGTAATAGATCTTGCTATCACTATCTTCTTACATATTGTGTCTCTTACTCTTTGTTATCTATCAAATTATTCTTTGATATCCAGTTGAAGATGCTTTTCATTTATCTCTCAAGATCTTTAGGTCCTTATGCTTTATTCACAATCATAGTCATCAAACGAAATTAGATTTGAAATCTCTTAGAGGTATTTTTCTTGGATATTTATGACTCAAAAGAGTACAAATATTATTGCCCCTCCTTAAATTGCTATATTATTTTAGTCGATGTTACCTTCTTTGAGAACAAATCAGTCATTTTGCCTTTGATAACTCTTTAGACTCTCCTGATGATTATGACTACCTTATTATTCAGGAAAGCGCTGTCGATGTTCCTTTGAAGACTGCTGTACAAACTGATCTACCATCTAAGTTTACAGAATTAGTTCAGGGTTATACAGGATATACTGCTCCGTAGCGTGAGTTATCGTCCAAATCCACCCAAGAGTCTGATATACTAACAAGACAAAATATGACCATACAACCAAATGCTTAGCCTACTGATGATCTTCCCATTGCCCTCTAAAAGAGTAAGAGATCTTGTTCTCGTTGTTCTGTAACTATGTCTTTTACTCTTCATCATCTTCATGTTATTCTTTCATATCTTCTTTGGATTCTCACCCGATTCCTAAGAATTTGTCAGAAGCTCCTTCTAACTCAGGGTAGACGGCTGCAATGCAAGAAGAGATGATAACCTTCAAGCGAAATTAGACTTGAGATCTTATTTCACTATCATCAGGGAAGAAAGCGGTTAGCTGTAAATGAGCTTATATTATTAAATTAAACCTAGATAACTCTCTAGCTCACCTCAAAGATCGATTAGTTGTGAATGGATATATATAGATCTACGACATTGATTATATTGATAAATTCTTTCTTGTACTTAAGATGACATCTGTTCGCATTCCTTATTTCGCTTCTCGCTCGCTATCATTTGCCACTACATTAGTTGGAAGTTAAGATTGCAGTCCTCAATGATATTCTTGATGAGGAGGTTTATATGAAGCAATCACTCGGTTTTGTTGCTCAGGGGGAGTGCGACATAGTTTGCTGGTTGAAAAAAAATCCCTTTATGGCTTGAAGCAATTTTGTTGGGCTTAATTCAGATATTTTGCAGCAATTGTCCTTTGATCTTCATCGAGCACAGAAAGATCACTCGGTTTTCTAGAGATTTTATGGTAGGAAGCAGGATGACTCAAGCGCCTATGATGGAGCAGCAACAAGTCCTCCACACTCCTCCCAACTCCTCCAGCTCCCTCTACAATAGATGAGAGGGTCAAGTCCATACCCTCTATCTAGGTACCACAAGCCACTATGCCATGTGCCAGTCCCAAGTTGCCTGCCTGTCCCCTTCTCTTGAAAGATCACCTTAGGAATATCAAACAAAGCGACACATTTTAGTTGTGATATAATGACACTTATGGATAAGAGATTTACAGGAAAATGAGCATGCAAGACATTAGACAAAGTCAAAGTGCTGGTACATTTTACTGTGCCCTTACCAATCACGGGCTGGGCTGTACCGTCAGCTATCTGAATGCTCTCTGGTAGTGCTAGGTGAGTATAGGAAGAAAACTCCCTAGCAGCACCAGTCACATGACGAGATGCACCAGAATCAACTATCCAATCTGGTGATGTAGTGATAGATATAGAGGCAAGAGCAAGTGTATCACAAGTACCTGTGGTTGAGCGAGCAAAGGAAGCAAAGTTACCCCTGGATGAAGACGAGGTGGATGCATCATCTACCCCACTCTTCTCCTCACTTGTTGCTTTCTGCTTCCTCTTCAATGCCTCCAAAAACTCATGATCCTCTTCGGTAAAGGCCACAGTCTCCTTACTCTCTCCCTCTGCTACCATCAAATGTGCTTGGTAACCTCCTCTTCCACCTCTCCTACCAGCTCTGCCTCGACCACGACCCCCAACATGCGCCCTTCCACCTGTATCTCGCTCCTTTGGTAGCTTAGGACAAGCTTGCTTCAGGTGACCTACCTCATCATAGTTATAGCACTGTCGAGTCTCGCCCATGTACCCTGTGTTACCTGAGTTGGAGACTGCAAGCGCTGACTTCACTCCTGGAAGTCCAGCTGGCCCAACCTGTTGCCTAATCCGACTCTCCTCCTGTATCATGGCTGAGACTGCTTCCTCAAGTGAGGGAATCCTCGTCTGAGCCAGTAGCATAGCAACCCTCTGCTCAAATACCGGGGCCAGGCCCTGGAGGAACAGCATAACCTTGTCCTCTATTTCAATCTCAGAACACACAGAGTCAGTGCAACATCGTCGTCGGACCCTGAAGTGGTCCTGATCCAACTATAAGCGATCCAGCTCTATGGCATACTCCTGCACAGCCCTCTCCCCCTGTACCAAAGTCGAGATCTCCCTCTTGATCTGGTACACCCGCAGGTTGTTCCCAACACCATCGTAGGTTCTCCTCAGCTTCTCCCAGACATCCTGCACCTTCGCTATGCCATCCACTGTGGACGCAATAGGCGAAGTCAGTGAGTTCAAGAGCCAGATATATACCTACATGTGAGTCGAATTCCACTCAGCTCTCTCAGGTGCATTCTAACCCGGCTTCTCCTCTCTAGTCAGGTACCCCTCTTGACCCTTCCCTTCAGGAGTGTACCTCACTCGACGCGACCAGCTTAGATAAGTGGTTGTACTCTCGAGTTTCATATCGATCGGTGGCAACTCAACCTTCTGCTTCGGCTTGCTCTCACTCGCTAACATCTTGAATGCTCGCATCAGAACCATTACATCATCATGACTTAGCTTTGACATCACCTCAGCTAGTGGATTCGTGCTGCCACTCCCCTCCTCCGTCGTCATCGATCCGACTCCGATCACGAACCCTGGTCGGACAGATGATTGTAAATGAACCAATTTACCTAAACTTTAGGCTCTCAGTGTCCAGTCATTTATCTAAACAAGCTCAGACTTTCCACTTCTTTTAACTTTCCACTTCTTTTAACTTTTCACTTCTTCAAACTTTCCACTTCATTTATCTAAACAAGCTCAGACTTTGTTTGTGCTCTGATCACATTTTTTTTTGTTTTTATTTTTTTCTGTTCTTTGTTATCAATATTTTATCAAAAAAAAAAGGAACCAGAACCTGATCAAGAACCCTCATCCTCCCGATCCGCCCTCCAGCCTCCAGCCATGGCTCCGCCCACGATACCCGAGAAGCATGTTTGGATTGGGATGAGGACCTTGGATCTCTTAAAATTTCGAGGACTCGCTGATGAGGACTCGGCGACTCGGACTCGGCGAGGACTCGACAACGACGGCGACAGAGGGAACTAATGCCGGCGACGGCAGAGAAGCGGACGCGATCTTGAGCGTGGAGGGCGGAGGCCACCGGATCTAGGGCATCCTTAGGTCCGCCGGCGCTGTCCAGGCGGAGGTGGTGGCCAGGTGGGTGGAGGCGGCTCTAGGGTTAGGGTTAGAAAGCTCTGATACCAAATTGAAATTTTGGGGAGAAATGAAATCTGCGTCTTTTTTTTCATTGACCTCTTGGGCCTATATAAGGTGTTACATCTTACATCCAAGCCCCTATCTTTATACAAATTGCATATCTCAACAGTTTTAGGTCATATTAATTTTCAAATGAAAACATGGACTGGAATTGGCTTGGGTACTTCTGGAAGGATCTGAATGGCATACTCTACAGTTCAAGTTCAATTCCAAGAGGCTACAATTGAAAGTCTGCTCGATCATGATCCAAGTCATTTCCAACAGAGTGACAACAAAGCCTTTATCTTAAATTGTGTGGTCGGCGATCTGAGTCATTTACACTGCAAAAAAATGGAAAATCAAATGGTCTCAATGCTCCTTGTTGTCCATTCAAAAACTTACAGAATGAAAAGCTATAAATAGCGGGATACATGGCTTGAAGCATCCTAAAATGTTGATTTTTCTGCATGTGTTTAAGAGGTATATTAGGTGTTTAAGAGGTATAGTACATGATCTATGAGGTTAATCGACAAGTTTAAGTTTACCGTCATCACTGTGATGTGTTCTTTACAAACTTACACTAGTTTTTCCCCCCAGTTCTTCTCTTTGTAAGAAATGAAATCATTTCGTTTAATAAGTGACTGATTGAATCTTAATGCAGAGATGATGGCTAGCAAAGATCCTGTGGCTGCTGCTGCTCAGAAGTACAAACCAATACAGTCTGCTGTTCCAGGAACAACACTTGGTCCTATTCAAATTGAAGCTTTTCAAGGAGGAGGAGTATGTTTCTAAAGTTTTTCTATGTGACATTGTGCTAATTTCTTCAGAGTTTCAGTCTTGTTACTAGCCCCAGCAGTCTGATGTTTGAGTGCTAAGTCTGTTTAGTGGGTTGCTGTTTTTTCTATTACCCTTGAATATTGCTAAGGTTCCTTCATCATGTGTGTCCACACACTCATGATATTGGTAAGTTACTGTGGATGTCATTATTGTCAAACATCATCATCAATAAAGCTTCTACTACATATGTTTGGAGTTGGCTAAGCATAGTATGTGAGTTAGTTGGCGAATCGATGGCCATAGTATTGAATGTGGTAATTGTTAGGTCATATTTCTAGGACAAATTTTCAAAACAAACTCTTTTGCAAATTTATTCCCAAAAAACAACCCATATCTCTCTTATTTGTAAAAACCGACCTGGTTTAAATCTCAACGCTGAAACCAGGTCGGTTTTTACAAAAAAAGTTCCGAAACTTCACGGGAGTTGAACTCCCTTGAAGTTTAGCAGCTTTTAATTAAACTGCTAAACTTCACGGGAGTTCAACTCCCGTGAAGTTTCACAGTTCAAAAAATTTGTTTTTGAATTATGAAACTTTACGGGAGTTCAACTCTCGTGAAGTTTAGCAACTTAATTAAAAACTGCTAAACTTCACGGGAGTTCAACTCCCATGAAGTTTTGGAACTTTTTTGTAAACATCGACGGTTTTTACAAATAAAAATTAAAGGGGTCGTTTTTTGGGAATAAAATTGCAAATGAGATTGTTTTGAAAATTTGTCCTATATTTCTGTGCATTGACTTCTTCTATAGTAAGAGAATGATGCGATCAGTTCTAAGATTTTTGATGTATAAGTTCCCAGATTATAGGCTAGGTAGTATCCAATGTTTCGGAGTTTGCCTTGAGAAATCTGGTAGTAGGTGTGAGGTGACTGATCTAATTTTTGCATTGAATCACAACACCTACAGCAAGTGTTATGCTTGTGATTTCACGGGTGAGTCTAATTTTTGTGTTTTTTCAAATATTTATAAATTGCATGATTCGGTTGATGTAAAGGTAGTTGTTTTAATGAGTTTCAAGATAATTGTTAATCATTATTCTTAAATTTAGTTCCTCTAACTATTACACCAAAACTCTGAAGTTATGGTGAGGATCAAAGTTTATAGTTTTATATTAATTCTACCATGCCCCCGCAGGTTGAGCGTCCTTTTTTTTATGGGTCGGTGTCAATTTTTCGAAAATCCGTATTTAATTCGTGGTCGGTGGGATTTGAACCTGGGTTGCTCTGATACTATCTTAAATTTAGTTCCTCTAACCATTACATCAAAACTCCGAAGTTATGGTGAGGATCAAAATGATTATAATTTTATATTAATTCTAACCGTTATGAAATACGTAATCTTAAAATTGATAATACATTGATCTCGTTAGGAGAGAAAACAAAGGTCATGTATAATATGAAATTTCAAATTTGAAATTCAAAATTAGTTACCTTAATCACTAGGCCCACCTCAAAATAATGCCACATATAGCTTGAAATTTCAAATTTTGAATAAAAAATTTGTTAACTTAATAACTATTTTCTCCTAAAATAAAGCATAGGAGATCCCCTTGCCGCACCCGGCGGTCCATAGAGGAAGTGTGAGTTCTCGCTGACTGTGAGGTATTCCTTTGACAATGTCTTCGTAAACTATTGATTTGAAAATTTGTTATGAATTAAATAAAACATAGAACTTCTTTAGTTCTTAAAAAAATGTGGTCTTACCTAACTAAACCATCCAATATGATTATTTCTAAAAACATGCATAGTAGTTTTTTTATTTACTTCATAAAAAAAGTAGAAACAAAGGCGTGTATGTAACACATTGTGGAAAATTATTGAGGCTGTTTAATTCCACAAAGATGGTATAAATTAAATAATTGAGAATTTGTTGAGGTTTGTTAATTCCATATAGAAGTTAATATAAATTGTTTTTTGGTGCTCTAATAAAAAAGTGTTTTTCCACTTTTTAAGGTGATAAAAAATAAAAAATGGGCGGAAGAAAAGGAGAGTTATTTTTATCTTTCTTAATTATTTTTTTTAAAATTTATTGACCATTCATATATAATGGGGTGATCTGTACCATTCATTAGTGGTTAGGGCATTAGTTTGGAAATTATAACTCTTGTACTAATGGTTATGATAAATTTCCTATTGATTTTTGGTGCTCCAAACATGGAATTTCATTATATATATAATATATAATATATATTTAAAATATAGAATATATAATTAATAATATATTATAAATAATATATATAATTATAATAATATAATTATAATATATGTATCTAACATTATTATAGTTATGTAGTAAAATATACATATACAAAATACATAAATATTAAATATATATATAATATAATATAATATATATAATAATATATATATAAACATATACAAACAATATACTACATATATAGATATTATATGTGTGTATGTAATGATATATATGTATTATTAGAGTAGTAAATATAATATATATAATAATATAAAAATTCAATAATATATATATATATATATATATATAATATATATATCTACACACACACACACACAACACACAAACACACACACACACAACCACATATCATAACATTAGATGTATATTGTGTAATAATATATTATAATGAATGTCATATGGTGTGGTGTGTGTTGTGTTGTGGTGTGTTGTTGTGGTGTATATATATATATACACACGCTACAACATAAGATGAGTATTTTGATCCTTTACCATTCAATTAATTTCATTTTCCTATTTTTTGGATTTTCTAAAAATATTACAGTGAACTCCCTCCCACTTTGATTTGCTCTACTCATCCAAAAATCTAAGAAATCCATTATAGGTCTAAAATCTTTATAGGTCAAAATTTTAAAATAAGGATAAAGCATACACTATGAGAACCCAAGAAAAAAAAAGTCATAATATTATTTACGTTGAAACAACCAATGGTTTATGGGGAAAATGTAAAATAAGTAGAACTTTTAGAAAAAAAAAATTGCGATAACTTTCATATTATATTTATTAAAGTGAATGTTATATTGAACATAATTAATCACCTGTTTTCTATTGAGATGAGATATGATTTGTGAGTTCTATCTTTTTCACCAGTTAAACAAATAAAAGAGAAAATCAATGTGGTATATGATTGTTTCTCCAAAAAATTGTGTGAAAATGTTAAAAAGTTTAAACTGGACAATAAGAAAATATAAAATAAAAACATGCTATGAAAATTTAGGTGAAAGTAAAAGAAATTCGGTATAATATCAAGGGTATTTTAGAATTTGGGAACTGAATTCTAACTGTTCCAAAATTCTCTATTTTTAATTACCACAGTAAGCCCGGTGGGATAAGGGTATTTTATGAGAACTAAATTGAATCGAAATTTAATTAAAAGGCAGGAAAATATAAAATCCATGAATCATATCTATACGAATTAAAATTGGATAGAAAGACATGCAAAGTTAGTTGATAGATAAATGATCTTAAAAATTGAATTTTTTTGCCAAAATGCTATATATACAGAAATTGAAAGGAATGAAATTAGGTTTGGTAGATAGTTGATAATTTTTTGTTAATTGTTAACTGATATATATAAAAAACCCAAATTAAATATTGGGGGGGACACCTGGCAATATATAAGGCCTTTCGAGCAAACCACCAATTTCTCTTTATTTACAATGGGGAGATACATAGTATTTGTCACTAATTGAGCTGAAGTGCTTGAGTGAAGCAAAGGACCTTTCAACGAAGAGAAGATCATTTTTTATTCTCGAAAGTTTGAAGCAGTTGATGTTTTAAGCCACTTCTTATTAGCACTTGATTGTGGATGTTTTTGGTGATTTTTTGAACCTTTTTGGTCTTTTTGTTTTACACCATGTTCCATATAATGCATCTTTGGCTCGAGCTCCTATTGAATCTTTGCATCTTTGAATTCGTTTGCAACATATAGTCCCCACTTTCATATCCACCTAGTTCTCTTGTCTATTTGGTTTGCTTCAAATCTGAGCCCTTCCTGCCGTTCTTGTTAACATTGTGGCACTTAATCAGCATTCAGTCCTTGCCCAATTTGTGTTCCTATACCTAAACATGATTAATTAACTGTTTGAATCTAGGCTTATACTGATTTGTTTGAGATCCAATAATCACGACTCTACGAAATTGTGATTGTTTTTCTACACCCTATATCCTGGTCCCCCGTCTACTCATGCTTACATTGTTGGCTGTTCTGTGAAATCAAAAGCTCTCACTATAAGTGTTTTCTTGAGATATGACATCTTGCATACAACAGGATTGCCCTGCTTTTCAATTGTTTCATATAGCCAGTTCTTGACTTTCTTTCATATAGGGTTCAGTTCTGATTATTACTATATTCATTCCAACATATTTTCTTTATTATACTTAATGACTGTATGACGATAGAAGACATGATTTCGAATTTTTTTAATTACTATTTTGATGATTCCTGCATTTTCTTTGTTTACTATCATTGTTTTGACTCTTTTTCAAGATTTAAATACTTTTATTTGATTATACGACTTTTTCTTTGCTATATCATTTAACTGATGTTAAATATAATATTGCAGAAATTGTTTGACACACCAGGAGTGCACCTTCATCACAGACAGGCAGCAGTTGTTCACTCTGAAGATCTTCCTATTCTTGCACCTCAAAGCCGTCTCAGAGGGCAATCATTCCCTGTATGTTAGTTTGTTTTCCCCCATTTTCTTTTATTTATTAGATTCTAAACACAAAGTCTTTTGTTTTAATTTGCTTTCTCATAATTTTTGATAATTTACAGGCAGTTTCAGCTAAGAATACAGTGGATAGTCCACATGCCATTGGTTTGAATGGGTTCTCGATTTTCTGGGGTGGCCTTGTCCGGATTGATCTCCTACAGGTCTTCCAAGTTATCAACGTCTATGTTTACTGGTTAGCCTCTTTGCATTACGTCTAACCATGCATTTTTTTCAGGTTCCTCCACGTACACGTTTGACCTTTTATGGACCTCGTAAGTTAAAGATCTCCACAGTTCAGACTGTTGAAGCTGACAAGTTTTATCAGGTAATAATATTATTATGATATACTTGAATTAAGCTTTCTTTCTCATTTTCCTTGAAGCCTGTCCACGCACAAATAGATTCTGTATGGTATATAGAGAAACTGAAATGGCACATATAATCAGGGATGCAATCTTTTTTTTTCACATTAGGTGGTAGTTTCTTCCAGAATTTTCAGTGGTTGATGATGTTAAGCTCCTCTTGGAAGCAGCCATTGTGAAATTCATTCTAGAGCTAAGGCAACATGCAGTTTGGCTACCGCTGGTTCTCCAGACACGATATTCCCAATCAATTAAAACTTTAAAGTGGTGATGATTAGGAGGATATATTTTAATTTTAGTAAAATGATTCTGCCATCAGATTTTGACTAGTAATCCATATAAATTATATTATAGAATTTTGCCAATACATACCTGAAGAAGATTTCAAATAAAAAAAGAGGGCAGCTGGTTGATCTTATGCTGGTGCAAAACAAGAGAGATATGCATGTTTTACTTATTAATCAACGAATAGTTAGCAATATTATGACCGTGGGTAATTGAATTTCCTTGTAGTCTTCTATCCTTATGAACGCATTTATTGTGTCCTTAAGAAAGTATGCTATGCGGTAAACAGCTCTGGAAGGAAAAAGGTGAATCAGTCTGTTTCAGCCGTTAGTCTAGGGATGAAAACTGATACTCTTAGTGTATGATTATATTTGTGGCTACCCTGCTCTGCTCATGAATCAGTTTGCTCTGCTCTGCTCCTGAATTCATCACATTGACTTTATGTAGGTCAGTTACAAATAAAGTAAATTGCATATTAGTCAAAAGAAAGATGAAATCACCAGTATATTTATGTAATACTAAATTTTCTGTTTTATCATATGTCATATCACAGGTTCAATTCTCAGTCTGGCAATGCACGCTAGTTTCATTTCTTTACCTTAATTTCTTTTAGTCTTACTTTTTTTTGGCCTCCTGGTCTTTAGAAAGAGGTTGGAGCCACATTGACGCCGCCCACTAGTAGACAAAGAGAAAGCTGGCTAGGACTCCTAGCAGTACGCAAGTTGCAGATAAATTATGAATATGAAAAGAGGTAGTATTCTTCTGTTTCAGTTAATACTTTTTTAACAATTTGACCCTATGAAACATTAGCAGTTCACGGAAAATTTTATTGGGCCTGCATGGCAAGATGGGAAAAACATAAATTACTAAATACCATCAAACGAATGTTGGACTGATCCATAGTGAACCCGAGGAGTGGTGAACAAACCATCACAAGGATCAAGGCTAGTATCGAGCTTCCTGAGCCTTTTACTAAAGCAAGTGGGAACCTGTAACTTTATACAATTCACTTCTGTTAGTCTTTGTGTTTTGGTTTATTGGCTTACTACCCAACCATTTGGCAACTGTTCAGGACTAGGGATAGTGCTCTTGTTATGGCAAACATGCTAACAAGTGATTAAAACGCCTTAGACAAATAGGAGCTTAGGTACCTTAGGCTATCCAACCGTTTTGCTTTATATAAGCAAGATCATTTTGTTGACTGTGTTTGTTTTCCTACTGAGCCCCTAACACTTATACCACAACGGATCATGTGGGGAACCTTAAGATCAGAAGGGCCTTAACGTTCATTGTAGAAAGGGTTAATTGCAAATACACCCTCTAGACTGTAGAGGGTTGCCATTTAATGCCTATATTTTTTATCGGCACTATTTGTACGCATTGTGTGTTAACGTCAATGTGTTGAATGGAGATTCTCTGCTGTTTCAGTGTGTTGCAGAGTCCCCCTATTCTCTTATATGTATTGAGTATACACACTTTATAGTACAAGTACATATAGCTAGGGTTGGCAAACGGGTTGGGCGGGGTCAAAACTGACCCGATTCATTTATCAAATAGGTTACCCTTACCTGACCTGAATGACCCAATGAACCCATTTAAGTTGGATGGTCCAAGCAATTTCTGCGAATACAATCTCAGCCAAGAGAAACTTCTATATCACTTCAAATACAATTTCAAAGACATCTTATTCCAATTAATTTCCGGAGAAGTGTAGTATTTCATTGTAAAGCATAAAAGAAAAAGCTTCATGTTGATGATAACAAGGTGTAAAATTATATTGAATTATAGTTGCTAATTACAGAAGTTCATTCCGTATCTAAAAATCAAAAGAAGAAGTAGTAGAAGAAGAGGGAACACCTCTCAGCAGTAATTCAATCGTCTAGTTAACAAAATATGGAAGTTTACCTCTTCGAAGAAGAAGTAATAGAAGGAGGGCTATTTGAAGATGGAGGTGCCCTATTCAAGGATAGACCTATAATATATCTATCAAATGGTATGGTACGTACTCTACTGGTCTTCTCTTATGTCAGTTGCCACCAAACGTTAGGAGGGGGTCTCGTTACTACAGCGATACGAGACCTCAAAATGGATAGTTAAGTATGCCATGGGGATTCATCAAATTGTACAGAGTAAGGACCAATACAACCACTATTGCTACTTCCCTGACATCATCGGGACTAAATTTGGTGATGAGTTTGAGTATAGTCTTGGAGCTGAGGGGTTTACTAGTTTAACCAGCGATTGTTTCAACTGGCTAGTAAATATTAGGCCTAGGCATCTCGTCACTCGATTGACCGAGACAGAGTGCTATATTGAGCCCTATCTCTTTCCTTTTGCAAGTATTGAACTTAAATCAGAAGTCTTTCATGACTATGACTTTTGCACCTTTTTCCATTGTTGATCCTTCAATTTCCATTGAGGACTTGACAAAGCTTGAGTTTGCTGGGGATGCAATGACTTTTGAGCTCCCCATAGAAGCTAAACCGGGCCAACGTTGAACTTGAACCTCAAGTTGAACAAGTGAGCGGATCTTCAACTATGGTTGAGAAGTTGGCCAAAGCTAAAATTGCTGTCGTTAGTGACGAGTCTGCGATCACAACTATAACTATAGCGATGGTCATATGGCTTCTGAGCCATTAGTTGTGCCAACTCAAGCTTTGCCTACGCTCTTTGATGTTTCAAGCATGTTAGGTTTGCTTGCTTCACTCTTTAGGCTAGCCGAGGGCTAACTTTTGACTGTTTCAGCTGCTTCTCCTACCATGATTGAGGCCTTGGCCATTGCAACTAAAGCGAGCTCATCGAGGCAAGTGACGATTGAGATTCTTTTATCTCCGGACTCTGATGATTCAGCTGAGTCGGAGATCCACTTTTTGATTGAGAACATGATGAGGCTTTTTAAGTATTAAGAGGGCTCTGGCTAATGGTAAGGTTTTATCCGCCCGTACCAAACACTTGTTGCAGAGTGAGCTGCTGGAGCAAAATGCGCCTAGCCTTATTAGACGATGATTGATCGAGTGGAACTCTGCTTTTTGGAGTTGCAAATTCTTTATGAGGCTAATGTCACTGCTATTGTAGATGTCGAGTTCCAACGTTGATGGTGCACTGCCACAAGCTCAACGAGATGGCTTGAAAGGAGATAGAAGAGGTCAACCAAAATCTAAAAGAATTGACCATTCACCTTGTCGCCATCGATGGCAAAAACCCTAAAATATCTACTGCTGCTTCTAGCAGGCAGGCCACCATTGATGAGGCTGAGACTACTATAGCTCAGGCATAGTCCACATTAGAGGCAGGTCAGAAGCAAAATGAAGAGCTCAAGGCCAGTTCTGTGAAATTAGCTAATAAGCGAGCTCAAAGAACAACATGTTTTAGGATGAAGCAAGCTCGATTGGATGCATTTGAAGCTCAAGCAGTTCCAGCTAGTCTGGAGGCTTTGGGAGAACAAGCTATTGAGGCGGCCATCAATACATGCAAAGCTAGAATGGCCAAATGTATTAAGAGCATTAGGTCTTTAATCTACCAATATCTTAGCCTATCTTCATGTTACATTTTTTTGAACTAAACTATTTGTGATAATTTCTCTCTTTTTAGTAGCAACAAAAAATTGCTTTTGATTTTGAAGTCAGATGATAGAAATGTAATGCTAATATATATCATACGAAGTTTAGAATTGTTAACAAACTCTTAAAGTGAGCGAGTTGTGGGACTCAATTCATCAATAGAAAGAGAGGAGTCGTCGAATGTGTAATGTTAACGAGTTGATGAGATAAACTGATAGAGGTGTGATGTTTACATACTAGATTTGTAGAATGGGTACCATTCAGAGGTATATTGTTTAACATAATAGTACTAAGGAGTTTGATGGAGGTATAGTGTTAACGTGTCAAACGAAATGACTGATAGAGGTGTAGTGTTAGCTAGTCAGATTCAAGGGAGTCTAAGGGAGAACTATCGTTTTGAAGTGTAATGACAACTTAATGGTATGAAGCATCAATAGAGGTGTATTCCTAACCGACGAATTTTAGAGAGAGGGATTGATAGAGGTGTAGTGTTAACTAGTTGAATCCAAAGAAATGCAAACTATTGAGATGTGTAACATTAATATGACAGTGTCAAAAGATACATATAGTCAAATAGACGTGGTGTGAACTTGATGACTTGCTGGGGAAAATTTTAAACGTAATTGATAACTCTATGGAGAGATGAAAAAGGCAAAATTCAAGGCTAATATTTTTTTAAAAAAAATCTATTGATTGGTATCATGAGCCTATTACTATTTGGGTCGATCAGGTGGCCCATTTGAGTAGTCTGTCTTTACTACAAATAGGCTTTTTCATTATGGATAAAATTTATCTTTAGTCTTGTGTGTCATGATCATGGGTCCATGGATAGCTAAGCCCAGGTCTCCTTTAAAGAATCGTTGTTTGACTCTCTTACTAAAGTCTTGATATCCGAAACTAGTACATCTCGATTTGTTGTTGAGCTTTGAATCTCAGTGGTATCATAGCTTCACATTCATATACCAAGGAGAAGGGCATAGAGCTTGGGAGTGCGAACCATTGTTTGACAGTCTTATTGAATGCTCTGGCCAGACTATTAGTAGTCAGGTTGTATGCTATAGAAGCCACATCTTGAATTTTAAATTTATTATAGAATTTGAAGAATGGTTGGCTAATAAATTGAGGCCCATTATCATGGACAATTCTTCGAGGGATGCCAAATCGATAGGTGATGTGGTGTTTTAGGAATTTAACCACATTGGATGTTTTAACTTCTTTGAATGGAATGACTTTGGCCCACTTGGAGAAATAATCATTGATGACAAAGATTACTTAGTGGGCTTTGGTCGACGGTAGGCTAATCGGCCCGATGATGTCCATTCCCCACATCTCGAATAGCTATGAGATGACGATTGGATGTAGTTTTTTTAGGGTTTGGTGTAAGAAGTCTGCATAGAAATGACATGCACGACATCACTTAGCATAGGCTATTGTGTCTATAATCATTGTTAGCTAATAATAGCCTAGACATCATAGTCGATCTTGGAGTTTGGGTTCACGTTGATGAGCCCCATATGTGTCATCGTGGGTTTCTTTAAGTGCTTCTCGAGCTTTGTTTGATGACAGACATCTAATTAGTACCATCAAATAATCTGTAGTGTAATATTTGTGTGGTAAAGTCATAAAATAAGCAGGGAGCTCTTCCTTGGATAGAGATTACTTATTTTGGATTATCAGGTAGTATGCCATAAAAGGCGTAGTCAACAACAAGGTAACGCTAATCATTGCGTTTGAAACCCCCAAGTGTAGTATGGATCTTATTGGCTTCTAAGATCTACTTTGTACAACATAGTTGATGATTGGCTACCGTATTGTGCTTAGTAGACTTGGAAGAAAAGGTTGAAGTGGCTATGACTGACACCAAGGCATCGACATAAGTGTTCTTGAGGCAAGCTATATAATTAATATAGAAGCATTTAAAAGAATGAGGGAGCTTTAATGTCGCTTTATGATAGGGTAAGAGATTATTATGCCAAATCTCATATTCACCCTTAATCGGGTTGAAAATTAGTTTGGAATCGCCATAAGCCTTAAGATACTTTACGCCCATATCTTGAGCGAGTTGTAGGCCAATTATGAGGGCATTGTACTTAGCCACATTATTAGAATATGGTTCGATCAATGAATAAGCTCAGGGAAGGACATGACTATAGAGAGCAATTAGCACTACCCCTACATCTACAATGATAGC